GAGAGAGAGAGAGAGAGAGAGAGAGAGAGAGAGAGAGAGAGAGAGAGAGAGAGAGATGGATGTTTCATAGCTTTTATGTACAGCCATGTGCATGGTGGGAGAGAGAGAGAGATAGAGAGATGGATGTTTCATAGCTTTTATGTATAGCCATGTGCATGGTGGATGTTTACTACTGGGGATAATTGGTAGAAAGCGCCCACGCCAAACATTTTCGGTTTTGGATCCCGAAACTCGGCCATTTGATACTACCGGCCCAATGACTTCTATGTGGGGTACTACAGGCCCACGGGTCACGCCAAGTGCCCTACCGGATCATGAATCTGGCGCATATCAGTGCCAGATTCATTTTGATCTAAAGGAGGCCAAGGGTGGTACCGCTGAAGTATAGAATGAGGCCTACGTACAGTATTATGAAAAAGAAGCGCCCTACCAATTCATTAATCTGGCGCAAAAACAACGCCAAATTCTTGAACCGGTAAAAACAGGCCCAAGGAGATGTGGCCACGGCGCGACAGCGGCTTTCACCCAGGCTGAAGACGTTTGGGCCGGTAGTACCAAACGGCTGAGTTTCGAGCGCCCAAAACCGAAAAGGTTTTGGCGTGGGCTCTTTCTTCCAATTATCCCGAATCGAGATAATTGGTAGAAAGCGCCCATGCCAAAACCTTTTCGGTTTTGGGCGCCCGAAACTCGGTCGTTTGATACAACCGGCCCAATGACTTCCATGTGGGGTATTACATCCATGTGGGTTACTACAGGCCCACGCGTTGCACCAACGGCACTACCGGATGATGAATCTGGCGCATATCAGCGCCAGATCCATTTTGATGTAAAAGAGGCCGAGGGTGGTACCGCTGAAGTATAGAATAAGGCCCACATACGGTAGTTTGAAAAAGAAGCACCCTACCGATTCATGAATCTGGCACAAAAACAGCGCCAAATTATCCGCTAAGAACAAGCCCAACGAGATGTGGCCACAGCACGAAGGTGCCTTCACCCAGGCTGAAGACGTTTGGGCTGGTGGTACCAGACGGCCTAGTTTCGGGCGCCCAAGACCAAAAAGGTTTTGGCGTGGGCTCTTTCTACCAATTATCCCGAATAGGGATAATTGGTAGAAAGCGCTACTGGCCCAATGACTTCCATGTGGGGTACTACAGGCCCACAGCGCCAAGGGCCATAATGGATCATGAATCTGGTGCATATCAGCGCCAGATTCATTTTGATGTAAAAGAGGCCTAGGACGGTACCACGGAAGTATAGAATATAGAATGAGGCCCACGCACGGTATTTTGAAAAAGAAGTGCCTGCGCCCTACCCCAAATTCTTGAACCGGTAAAAACAGGCCCAAGGAGATATGGCAACGGCGGGAAGGTGCCTTTCGCCCAGGCTGAAGAGGTTTGGGCAAGTAGTACCAAACGGCCGAGTTTCGGGCGCCCAACTGTTTTTTTTTTTTTTTTTTTTTTTTTTTCGTTCCCCAGAAAGGGAATAGGGCCGCACCGCACTCTGCCGCAGTGCAATACAGAGGCAAAGCTGGAGGGGTCGAGCAGGCAAGCCTACCCCTGTGACCCCTCCGAAGCCCAGAAAAATTAATTTAATAACATTGTGGCCCGATGGACCACGGAACAGATATTAAACTGATCAGAACAGATACTACACTTGATCTTAGCCAAAAGGCCGAGAAAGGTATAAACCGAACAGGTTTTGGCGTGGGCTCTTTCTACCAATTATCCCGAATCTGGAAACGCATACTCCACAAATTCGGGATAATTGGTAGAAAGAGCCCACGCCACGATTCGGGATAATTGTTAGAAAGAGCCCACGCTGTGGAAACGCATACTCCACAAAGCCGCCTCGAATTTCCTTCTCGTGGAAAGCCCCTATCGTCCGTTCGTAATCGTCGAACCCCGGAAGCCGCTGGACTGTAACCATGAACAGTCGCACCTTCCCAGTGTGCCAATGGGAAGCGTTCTCTGCGTTAGGCTGTAAGCAGGGCATTTCAAGTGAAGTGCTTTCCGCTGTCGCCGTTGACACCCACGTAGCTCCGATCTTGACGCTTCGGCACTCCAGTTAACCCGCACCCGTGCTATGTATATGGATATCATGCTACACTAAGCATGCTCTCTAAAAAATTGTCGAGCCTTTTCAAAAAAAAATAAAAATTGTCGACCCTTTAGCCGAAACCCGTCAAGACCGCGCGCATCGTTCATGGGATGATGGCCCCAACCCCTCATGAATGTTCAACATTGCGGCAGACGCGTTCTGTGATGACTGCACCGGGAACGGGCATAGTAACGAGTTCCGCGCTACTTCGAAAGCTCGTTCTCTGCGTCCATCGTTTCACCTTTCGTACAGAGAGGTTCTCTCTACAATTCTGGAGAGCATGGGAAGCATAGGAGGCATGGAGAAGGATGGAGATGTTCCCTTTGCTATTCTGAAGAACTCCGGCTCAAACAGCGAAAGAGAACCGACCGCTTCCGCCGCCGAAGCGGGCTTGAATTGCACGGAGTTTCTTGGTCTTGTCCTCGTAGGTCCGTTTCGACGGATAACTCTCTTCAGACTGTAACCACTCCAGAACCTGGGTTACAAGCGATCTCTCCGGCTTGGACATCTTCCCAAATCTTTTTTCCCGAAGTTCCCATGCGAGATACAGGAGCTTTCTCCGCGCCTTGAACTCTGCCTTCATCTCCTCGTCTTCTTCTTGCACCACTCTCCAATCCCGCCCTTCATCGGCTGTAGCGTCCAACCCATCCATGCTGAACCTCCCGATGATAACACCCACCGTTTCTATTCTCCCTTCCTCATGATTTTTGGCTACGGCTACCGCGGATGCACGAATGATGCCGTCGTTGTCGACGGTCACAACAAGCTTCGCCACTGGTTTCCCATGGGCAGCTACCGGTTTGAATCCCGTCAACATAAAGGCCCCCAGGAACTGGTTATCACGGCACGAGGCCCTCTCCCCTTGGTACAACTTGAACTCGATCGCCTCCTGGTAATCGTATGCGCACTTAACATCAAGCTCCCCGCTTGCCGGAAGGGGAGTGTTCTTGGGGATCACGACAATCATTTCCCCAGGACTGACCATCACACCGATGCTTTTCGGGTTGACATCGCACACAGGCACCCTAGGCTTATCGTTTCCCATCACAAGGGGAGAGAGAAAAGCTGCCTGCACGGCCGCACCATAGGCCACCACTTCATCCGAATGAACAACTGATAACGGAGGCCTGCCAAAGAGCTGCTCGAGCATCTCTCGGACCTTTCGGATCCGCGTTGACCCTCCGGCCAAAATCACGTCCGAGATGTCCTGACTAGTCATGTTGGCTCATCGAAGCGCTCTTTCAACGATCGCCATGCATTTCGGAACAGCTCCTCGTTAATCTGTTCAAAGGTATCCCGGGGTATAGACTGGTTCAGATCGATATCCCCGGAGTAGAACTCAATGTCCGCCTCGTCTTGGGTGGACAAAGTGTGCTTCGCCATAAGGATTGTCTCCCTCACTCGCGGAAATATCTTCTTCTCGGCGAGAAGATCCCGACCCGTCTCACGCTTGTACTGCTCTGCAACATGCCTGATGAGGTTGTTGTCGAAGTCCGCACCTCCAAGATCAGAATCGCCTTTCACCTCGCGCACAAGTAGGCCGCCGCTCTCCAGGGCAATGATCGAGACGTCGAGCGTATCCCCTCCCAGATCGAAGACCATGATGTTCCTTGCACAAGACTCTTCCAGTTTCTTCTGATGAATATACGCTACTGCTGCTGCGATCGGTTCATTCAGCAGCTGCAGCACGTTCAAGCCCGCTAGACGCCCTGCCTCTCTCGTGGCCTCCCGCTGACTGTCACTAAAGTGTGCGGGAACAGTTGTCGCAGCATCCTCGATCTGGGATTTCGCAAAGGCCTCGGCAATCCTTTTCATGTCCTTCAGCAGAAGGGAGGAAATTTCAGGGGGTGAGAACGTTTGCTTGCCGTCAGGTCCTTTTTCGAACCATGCAACGGCCATGCCTCGCTCTCCCGCGATGACTTTGAACGGCCACATAGCCTTGTACTTCTGGACCATGGGATGCAAAACAGACCTCCCCATCAAGCCTCGTCACCTCGTAGGCGCACTGCTTGGGGTTACGCGCCCCATTCCTCACGGCCGCTTGACCGACGAAGTGTTGTTTTTCATTGAAAGCTACGAAGGACGGCGTAATGCGAAGGCCGAGATCGTTTGGAACGATGTCCACATTACCATTTTGAAAAATTGCCACACAGCAGAACGACGTACCCAGGTCGATCCCTATGACTGGCTTAGAGGGGGGGGGGGGCATGTCACCCAGATCATCCGCTTCTGTGCCTGTTCAAGAAAGATGGAGCACTAAACAATCGGCGACACTCTACCTGCCCCTTCCACTAATCTATCTGCGCGCGCATCGACGTATCGCGCGCGTAATTCCACTTCGACGACCCGAGCCCGGAGCCAGACGCCTTTTTGGACGGCTTCAATGATACTGATACATGTCATGCCGGGCTAGGGGTTCCGCCCCCTGCGCTTCCCCCCCGTCCTCAATTTGCACTCCAAGCAGTGTAGCCGCTCCGCCCGGTGAGAGATTTCAACGAGTCCACCCCAACTACCTATCGAACCCAGCTTCCAGCAATCAAGCAAAGTCCACCAGGATGTGCCCTGCGACTGCTTCTTTTGAGCAAGTAGGCGAAGCTCATCTTACAATATCACGTTTAACAGGGAGCATGCATGTGCGCGCTCAAACCTGGCCGGCAGTGAGGTCACACTTGCGTACGCTACGGAAAAGGGTTGTCGCACGCTGGTCTTGAGGTAAGCCAGTGTGATAGTTGGAGGATCAACGCTTGTGTGCTCGCCCTTTGCTGCTCAATGAAAGTCCTCGTACCGATTTTCCCTGAACACAGCGTACCCGCATCATGGCGATGACCTGCCAGAGACTCAGACAGTGCCTTATGTTCGGGGGAATAGGATAGACACAAGAGAGAACCTATTAAATAGACGCGGCAGATTTGCGGTGCTTCCCACTTTGAGAAGGAAGGAAAATGATCTGACAAAATAGCGGGTAAGCAGGACTCGTGATCAACCACTCTCTTACAGCCCAACCAGTGGGAGGTCACGTACAACATACAATACGCCTCTTTCTCAAAGATGGCAGCGTTATAGAACAGAGACTTTTACATCATCGTTTTCAGCCGGAAATAACGAGATCAATCTCTATACGAATTGTGCGTCCGTTCGCCCTCTCCTTCGGCTTTACTCCGTTTCCGCCCTCGAGTTACGGTGTATTGACCTAAAAATCCTTAGCTATGCAAGCTGTTTTGGCTCCTCCCTTGCACCCCTTCTCCGCATGACTTTGCGCCGCGCAAATAATCCCCATCCCTCACTCTCACCTCCTCTCCCTCCTTGCTCTTCTTCGAGTGAGGCTTTCCCCCAATCCCTTGGTAAGCTGGACACGACGCGTGTTCTCTAACCATTCTTCCCTACCCTTCCCATCCTCTCCGTCATCCATCAGCAGGTGTATACCATTTGCTGTGAACCAGTCGTACGGGTTCGCTCTTGCGCCACTAACCTCGTCTGCCCTCAGTCCATCGGCCTCCCTTTCCTTCACCTCCGAGCACCACTTCCTGTCTTCTAGGAGAACCTTTCATCAATACTCTGCAATCCTAACGTCGCTGTCGCTCGTTGTCATCGGCTGATAAGAAGAAAGGCACGCCTTCCACTTCTCTTCTCTTCGTTTGACCTTAAAACAGAAACTCAGTTTGCATTTCGATGGTGCAGAAAACTCTGGGGAATCCCTCAGCCGTTCCCACTCCCCTAAAAGAAACGAATCTTGCCCCTGACAGAGAACTGCAATGAAATCAGAAACAGCATAAACAAATAAGGACGGCAGTACATTGCATTCTCCCCCCAAGCTCAGCTGTTTCAGAGCAAAATTGACTCTCAAATCAAAGCACAGCGACAGCGATAAACAGCAATTTAACCACCAAAGAATAGGTATACAGGTGGAAACGGACTGGCGACTACAACCAGATCAAAACATCATCTCTCTCTCTCTCTCTCTCTCTCTCTCTCTCTCTCTCTCTCTCTCTCTCTCTCTCTCTC